ATGAAGTTATGTGTTAATCACCTCTCTCAATTTCTGCTGGCCTTTGTTCCAGCTCTCTCAACGAGCCAGGGAGATCTACAACACCTTCCTGTCCAGTAAAGCTACAACACCAGTTAACATTGACAGTCAAGCTCAGCTTGCTGATGACATCCTCAATGCCCCCAAACCCGACATGTTCAAGGAGCAGCAACTACAGGTAGTATACTACGTGAGAAAAAACTATTCATTGAAGCCTCAAGGTGATAAGCAGTAACGTTTGAAAGGCTTAAGTGACACTGACTTGACCTTCCCCATCAGAACAAAGTGAAAAGAGCATTTCCCAGAAGGATGAATGTGTCATTACTTATAAAACTGAATGAAATACAAACTCTTATTGAAAATGGGTAACAGTGTTGAGTGCCCAAAAGGTCAAGTATTTCTCTTTTATTGCTGTCTAGCATCTTGGATGTGAATGGCTTCATAAATGTGTATTTTGTGAACGGGTTGAATTTGCTGAAAAGCGCTATTGATTTCTACAGCTCAGCTCAGATGTTCAGACTAAGATAAAAGTCACAAGGCTAGGAGGGCATCCCCACCAGCACCCTCTGTACTTTTGCACATCAGACATCACATCTTTTCCAGGATCTCATGGTACTGTTTAGGAAAGATGTAGGTTCAGACTTGCATACAAATGCTGAATTGAACATATAAACACTAACATGCATACTTATATCATTTCCTCTCAATCTGTTCATCCAAAAAAAATAATCCAGACAATAGTAATAAATATTCATTAGGTTTATAGACTTGCTGATCTAATAATATAATCTTATTTTAGTTTAATCATTTTTTGTTGTGTGAACCTCTTGTCTTTTTTTCGCTTTCCTTCTGTCAGTTTTTGCTGCTGTTTCTTAACCCTTACAATCCTCCTCCTCTCTTGTTTTCTCTCTGTACTCTGTAGTGTTTGCTTGTGGACACAATCTTTTGTTCTTCTTTCGTTTTTGCTTTGCTCTTTTCTTTTGATCACTCATCACCTTTTCCTTTCTCTTCACCCGTTTAGATTTTCAACTTGATGAAGTTTGACAGTTACACAAGGTTTCTCAAGTCTCTGCTGTACCAGGAGTGTATGCTGGCAGAGGTTGAGGGCAGACCATTGCCTGATCCTTACCACATCCCAAGCAGCCCCACCTCCAAACACAGCACCACTGGGTCTGACCGCTCCAACCTCTCTACACCCAAGAAGGTAATTCAACACAAAGCTTTCTACTCTGCAATGCAACAGAATGAAAACCACAGCTTAGTTTGAAACAAAAACTTTGTTCTTAACTTTTAAAAAAAAGTGTGGTTTGGACCCTCCTGATAGACGTAGAAGGTTACGGGAGTTTGTTGTGGCTACTGTGATCACATTTATTGTAAAATTCAAATGGGATCCTTTTATTATTAATGATTGATAGAAATTGTGGGCCAGGGGATGTGAACTATCTTGAGCACGTCAGAAAAATAACTTGTGGGCTAAAATATCAGCAGCTGTCTTGTGCATTTGCACTTTTGTGTACTGTAATGGGATTACAAGAACAATTTTTTCTGATTATTTGTGTACTTCTGTATGTTTTCACCAGTTTGTGCTCTTCTTTGTTTTTGTTTGTGTCATACAGGAGGACAAAAAGAGCAAATCGGGTCGATCTGTAAATGAGGACAGAGGAGATGATTCGGGAGATCGGAAGAAAGGGATGTTTTTCTCTTGGTCCCGAAACAGGAGTTTTGGCAAAGGGCCCAAGAAACGAGAGCTGACAGACTTTAACTACAGTCAGTCTTTTTCTTTTATTCCATTGAATTCCTGCAGTTTAAGAGTTTTCAGGAAGGAAAACATATTTCTAGAAAATGTCAGTTGCCGTACAGTTACTTTTTCATCATAAAGGTCACCGAAAACTACATAAGTTCGATTATTGCTGTCAATTTAGGTTTGAAATGATTGTGTCTGTTTTTTTTTCTCGACACGACTAATGCTATTTTTGGTTTGTTTTTTTTATTAGACTTTGCTGGCAGCAATGGCCGCCGTGAGTCTCAGGGTTCGCTGTCTTCAGGAGCCAGCCTGGAGCTTGGGACGTCAGGGTTGGGAAGGAATGAGGTCAGTCTGGAAAGAAACGTGATCAGATGCGTATCAGC